GTCACTAAATTTTTCATCATTTTGAACGAGGTATTTCAGATATTGCTTTTAGTTTTTGAACAAAAGGTTTATCAACATTTCACGGAAGGAGCAGACTGTACACGAGTATTTATAATTACAATTATTTTGTCAATGGTACCAAAAGTTGACAATGACGCTAAAGGGTTAACATCCTCACTTCGTGCCTCGGTTACATAAATGTATCCATGTACATGTATACCACTGGGAGAATGTATTTAATAGTGGGGAAATGATGGTCGCTTACGCACAGCGCGACGCGACGTTGCCACCCTTTATAACAATAGTGGATTTATCTTTAAAAAAATTAAACACTCAATTTAATTGACTTTTCTGTTATATAAACTGTCAGTTTTCATTATTGTAATAATTCCACCCAGTACATGTTTTTACATGTACATTGTAGCTCTACGAATGTTCAGGATATGTACGAAAGTGAAAGTAATATTGCATGACAAGTAGAGCATGATATGAAATAAAATCCTGGCATAACAGCGAGTGATACATGTACATGTACATGTATGGGGGTGAAAATGTAAAATTTAAGACATAGTACTTAAATAATCTAAAACTTTGATTTGAAATACTGTTTAATTTTTGACATTATTGATTTGAATAACAAAATTCTATGAGACTACATGTATATTTTCGAAAAATATGAATGAACAAAAATCTGAATGTTTTAGAGTATAAATCTGTTATTATTCTATAGGTTTTAGCATAAAGAAAACAAATGTTTGACTGAATTGTATAAATATATACCAGCATGTAATTCATACTATAAATAATAACAGGCTTAACCAAAGAGACCATTTATTATAAACCTCAATCTCAGGGTGATGTCAGAGCAAACGTTTCACTTTATTTGGTACCAGAATAATATACTCAGTTGTGCATTTTGCTTGTCAGTTGTGCCAGTAGATTTTAGTTCAGGGAAAATTTAGTTTTTCTAATTGACTACCCCTGGATCCATTGCTTGTCAGAGTATTATTTATAGTCATTTGTCGACTGCCCACTCAAACACTGCCATGGAGGCAGCAACAATGTACAATATATACAGAAAAATGAGGTGAACGTTCAAAGCAGAATGCACATAATATGCATGCACCTTTATGAAACACTTATATAAAAACTATAGAATTTATATGGATTATTCTATAGAAGTAAATAGAATTTTATAGAAATTAGATAAAATTCTATATAATTTAACAGAAAATTGCCACCTTTCTATAGAATTCTATAGAACTCTGAAGTTCTATTGAAATTCTATTCAGAGAGTACCTAATTAGTCCCCGTTCGGACGAAGTCCGAAAACGGGGACTTTAATATAATTCGGTCTCCGTCCGTGTGTCCGTCCGGAGTCATACATGTATCTCAGAATCCCTTGGACCGATTCTGTTCATTCTTTGCATGTGCCTAGTACTTTATCTGGGACATATGCACATGCAGTGGTTTAGCAATTCGATTCAAAATGGCCGACTGGCATGATGAA